ACGCTTTGGCCTCACTGAGTGCGGGGGTAGAATTTAACTGCTCCCACTCACGGGCTAAAGCTTGCCTGCTCAGTTCGGTCTCGAAGGGGGGAGAGATGTGACGAACTGGGCCTGTTCTCACTGTGGTCTGTGAATGCTGACAGGGGATAGTCTGCATTGGAGGATGGGATCTGCCCGAGGGCGCATACCTGAGTGTGTAACATGAGAACCCAGGAAGGGGTTGAAGGCCAGGTGACTCCTGAGCCCGGGAAACTGAACAAAGGCTGTGGGAGGGGTCGCTGAGGGAGAGTGCTGGAAGCGAGCTGGAGAGATGGCTGGGAGACAGAGATGGCTCTGACACCCCCCCCCCCCCCGAAGGGGGGTGGGCTGGAATACCCTGGGACCCCAAGCTGGACTTAACTGAGGGGGTCCTGTTGTCTGTGCCTGCAAGACCTGTCTTGGACTGTATTCCTGTCATCCAAATAAACCTTCTGCTTTACTGGCTGGCTGAGAGTCATGGTGAATCGCAGGAAGCCGGGGGTGCAGGGCCCTGAGTCCCCCAATACTCCGTGACAGGCTCCAGCCCACTTCATCAGATGCATAGAATGGAACATACAGTAAGAAGATATTTATGCATACAGAGAACATGAAAAGGTGGAAGTACCCATACCAACTGTAAGAGGCTAATTAATTAAGAGAAGCTATTATCAGCAGGGGAGAAAAACTTTTGAAGTGATAATCAAGATGGCCCATTTTGGACAGTTGACACAAAGGTGTGAGGTTACTTTAACATGGGGAAATAGATTCAATTCGTGTAATGACCAAACCATTCCCAGCTCTATTCAAACCTAACTTAATGGTATCTAGTTTGCATATTAATTCAAGTTCAGCAGCTTCTCATTGGAGTCTGTTTTTGAAGCTTTTCTGTTGCATACAGTTGGTATGGGTACTTCCACCTTTTCATGTTCTCTGTATGTATAAATATCTTCTTACTATATGTTCCATTCCATGCATCCGATGAAGTGGGCTGTAGCCCACGAAAGCTTATGCTCAAATAAATTTGTTCGTCTCTAAGGTGCCACAAGTACTCCTGTTCTTTTTGCTGATACAGACTAACACGGCTGCTACTCTGAAGCTTTTACAATTTTAGTTTTTCTTTCCTTTTCCCCTATTTCCTTCCTTGTTTGTTTATTTTTACTTGCTGTGTCTTGTTTGCTTTTTTAAAATCATAAATTTTTTGGAGCAGTGACTAAGGGTAACATTTTCAAAAGTGCTGAGGTAATTTTGGAGGGAAGTCACTGGAACTTAAGCACCTAAATCATTTAGGTGCATTTGAAAATTTTACCCTATAACTCTTATTTTTTTCTAAAGCACCTAGCACAATTTTGGATGCTGTAAAAATAATACATTATTTTTTTCTTAACATAGAGAAACAAAAATTACCTCTAACTGCTATCTTGATAAAAGATTATTTGGAGTTTAAAAACAGCACTTCTCATTAAAGTAATCAAATCTAATTGGTAGATTTATTACAAAATAAATTACATCTATGATATATGCTTTTTCTTTTTCACATTTTACTAGACTAAGTTTACAAATGTTTATAGCAAAGTTCATATTTGTTATTCGCCCAGCTTTTGTGTATGCATAATATTGTTCAGCAAATAATCACCAAATCACCAAAAGCCTTCTAATGGGCTCACTTGTTTTTCTTTCCCAAAGCATCAAAGGATAGAATCTTCTCCTTTCTCATTTTTTGCCATTTTCTGTTTATTTTGTGTGCGTGAGTGTTATCTGGATTAATGACATACACTAATATAACCAAACAAGCTGTTTATGGGCCCAATTCTAAGAGGCACAGAGCACCCCACAACTAACGTTAATTTCTGTGAGAACTGAGGGAAGTGAAAACTTTCCAAGAGGTACTCAGCACCTCCCATGATCACACTTTTATCCCCAAACTAGTACTGTGCTTAGTCTTTATGATTGGGGGCCCCTCTTGCATCAGAATCCAGTAGCATGGATGCAGCTATCCACATTAGGGGATCATGATGCAGGATTGAGATCTAGGTCTCTGAGCAGTGATGATGATTGCTATAGAAATTCCTATGAGAATTACATTTAGTTATCCTGGCACTGATTTTGTTTTACAAAGGGAGGGAAGGGATAAAGTTTATTTATTCAGATAATAGAATAAACACAGAATAGGTCACTTAATTGCATCTATAATGTGGGTTAGTTGAGAAATCTCAACATCTTAGTAGGTCAAATCTAAGTTTCAGAGATAATAGCTAAAATTATCAAAAGGTTTACATTTTTCCTCTGATACTACTTTACATTGAATAGAGAACTTCCATATTTAATGTTTTTCCTACCTACATATTCACTATTATGTTCCTCTTATACTTTAAAATGTAAATAATTATTTCTCTTACCTAGTCCTGTTTCTTTCATGACAGCATTTATGCTCAAATTTTGACACTGTGCTTTTGAAAGAATCTTTTTGTTTTCTGATATACATAGTAGTTTCTCTTTCAAATGGAAAGGCCCTTCGGAAGTTGAAGCCCACGCTGTTTGACTTTCAACTTGATTTACTCTCAACCAAGGACTGAGATCTGAAAAACTTAAGTATACTGGAGTTTTCTCAGTTTTTTTATCTGAAGTTGAAAGATCAAAGGATGACCTTCCACTTCTGTTTACTAAATCTCCAGATGTCCTTATGAGTAAAGAACATGATTCTTCCAGGCGACCTTCAGCAATTTTCTCTCCTGGAACTGTACTATTTAATGACTCTCTCTTTGCTCTTAACAATGAATTCTCTAGTGCATTATCATTAATCACAAGGGATTGTCCATCCTTCCTTTTGGGTATCTGAAAATCATTTGCATGAACTTTTTCCCAGGACATTTGTTTATCGGTGGTAATTTTGTTTATAACCATTTGTTTATGAATAATAGTCTGAGAAGCACATATATTTTCAGTATTCAGAGGCAAAACAACATCTGTGCATGCATATGTATTTGTATCAGTTTCTGTCTGTCCAGAAATGTCTTGCTCACTTTGGTTGCTGTGCATATCATTCAGATTTGTCCATTTATCTGTTTTTTCAGTATTTAAATTGAAATTCTCTAACAGAGACATAATAGTGTTATTTTCTTTTGTATTGTCAGTGTTCACACTTACATTATCACAGAAAGTAGTAGGCAGAACTGGAGCATCACTTGCTGTATCACAAGTACTGTTCAGTGCACAGTTTCCATTAGTTGTGCTTGCAGTGTCACTGTGTTTCTCTTGAATATCTGTATGAATCTGTTTAAATTGAAATATATCTGAGGATATGCCACTGGTGCTTCGATTTAACAGATGAAGTGGTTCTGTTTTGTCTTGTTCATTATCTAAATAAATGTCATTAGACTCCTGTAAGTGACATTTCTGAAACTTTGTATGACTACTTTCTGTAACCTGAGACAGGATGGTAAAATTAAATTCAGCCATGGTTTGATGGTTGTCTGCAGTTCTCTCAGTTACAGGACTGTCTTCTATGCCAATAACCTGTCTGGATTCTTTGTTTGGTGCTTCATTTATAAAGACACCTTTGTCATCCTGTGTGGCATCTGCCTTATCATTTGTATTACAAACTAATTCATTTGAAGCATTGCCAAATATATGCTTGCTGGAGTCTGTCTGTTGACCTGCATCCATACTGCAGACACCAAATTCTTCAGTATTGTCAAGGAGCATCTTTCTTGTGTTCTCTGGGAGTTTTGCCAATGCACAAGATCTGTCCTGTGGCTTTAGTTCTGCACTTGCATTGTTTTTCTCCAAGAACGTTTTGTCTGTTTTTCCTATATTTGCTGTCTTTTTGCACTCAGCAACACATACTTCCGAGGTCTGTCCTTGAGTCATTAAATCAATATCTGTGCAGAGGGTTTTGCCTGAAGGAGCCTCCCTTTGCTTTTCTTCACAGTGGCTAGCAACGTTAACTTCATCCTTATAATTTTCAAGAAGTTGTAAATCTATTAGGATGAAAATATTATAGTGACAAAAACATCTGAATGTTAAATGTTTTGTTTTTTTGCAAAATGCAATTCACAAAGATGTATTGATATTTTCATTAATGTTCATTTTCCTCATACGTGAAATAGTTACAATTTTTTTTAAATATCAGAAAGTTCCTAGAGGCAAACATTGTATTCATGTACTTGACAAAATATTTATAATGTCCAAACAGAACAATATACTTACATTTTTGCCTATTTTTTAAAAAATGAAACTGTTAACTATTCTATGATTTGGTTGTAATACTATCCCAGTTGGTATTTGCCAGAATAGCTGATAATGGTCTCTGCAATGAAATTGCTTATAACCATATATTTAGCTATTTAACTTAAACAATTTCTTATGATTTTTTTTCATCCTATATGTAGCTTAAATAAAGTCACTAATTTACTGGTGTAATTTTTCTCTTAATCTTTCTGATCTATAACTCATCAACCCTATTTAAGGGACAGTGTTCATACCATAGGAACATGCCATCATTTACAGGTGGCTAAATAATGAAGAAAAGCTAAGGCATCTGATACTTACAGAAGCTGTTCACTGTAAATATACTCCAATGCTATGAACATTTCTATTAGATAGTAAGAAAAGAGAAGATTCAATAAACCACCATACAGTTATGAAGGTCTTAAAGTTTTGACTTTCCATTCCTGTCATTTTGGAGTCTGGGCTTAGATAAGTACCATTTCATGGGCAGGTTCAAAAACTAAAAAAAAAAGTTTTAGAAAGCTATATGAGGCATAAGTGTTTGTGGACGTGGCCTGCATGGAATAGTAATTATACCATTACATATTGAGCTATTGCAACCCTATCTTCAGCAGGGTGTACAGATAGAAGGGAAGAGTGTCTCCCTCCTTACGCTCCTATACTAGAGCTGGGGACAAGCAAGTTTCTCCGAACCGGTCCTCACATTGGCACAGAAAATACACCGCACCAGAAGGGATGGTGAGCATGCAAATTGTACCTGAGTGAGGCAAGCAGCTCCAAGAAGGATTGTGCCTATACTCAGAGCTTTGTGTACTTTAGCAAAGTGGCACCTACTGATACCAAGAATTTCATTAATTTATATTCTATTTGATTTTGAGCACTGAATCTCTCTCATCATAAAGTGTATTTGTGAGTATTTATACCTTTGGCAACAATGTTATATGTCTCTTCTATGCATCCACTTCCATTACTTTGTTCGGTCTGTACTTTATCAATGTCTGAAGAGCAGCCTACAATATTCTTTACTTCAATGTCATCTTCCTGTCCAGGACCAGAAATACTATAATTTTTGATTGTAGATTGTGTATACGCATCTTCTTTCGGACTAGTCTATCATAAAATGGTAGATATGGTTAACTTATTAATTAGAGATAAAATATATTAAGGTTACTTTATCAAAGTTTGATTAGATTTAACAGGAAGGGCCTCATTCACTTTTTTACTACACTGCTGTAAATCAGGAGTCATTCTTTTGAATTAAATGAAATTTCTTTGCTTACATACAGCAGTGTATCAGGCCCACAAGCTATATTCAGCAGGCAAGTTATTTGACTTCTAGGTTTTTCAGATGGGCAACTTTGCATGATGTAAATATTAGAAGAATTTTCAAAGGAAGGAGTGTTAATAAAATGTGCTAACTTCCTCACTAAAGAGGGCAGAGCTTCATCATACGATCCCAAATGACCTGTCCAATAATAAGCGAGGGCAGAAAAAGAAGACTGAAGAGAGCAGGGAATTGCTAATTACACAGACATGCACTTTTTCTTCACAAACTATTTGCTTTCTTTGTACGTCTCCTTTTGTCCCTGAAAAAGGGATAGGCACTTCTATTTACTTTTTTCTATAGGCCAGAGCCACAACTCCATTGACTTTTTCCACCTTGGGGTCTGATACCTTGTTTTTCCTCCATTCCTATGGATTTGTTTGAAGTCTCCTCTCCCTTTCTTTGCACATTGCCTGTCTCTTCCTCTGTTGCCTCTTTTCCTCCCATTCCCAGTATAGCCAAACTCAAACATTCAGAAATCATGAGTCAGGCCCCAAAAGTCATGAAAAAGGCTTTAAAATCACAACTTTGGGGGGGAAAAAACAGTATTGCATTCTTTTTATTTGCCTCTTGGTTTTGGAGACATTAGGGTGCACTTATGTCACATTTTTAAGCTTTTCTCATCAACCATGAAAGTGAGAAATACTTTCTTTTTAATGAAAGGGGAGGTTACTCACACTGTGCAGTAAATGGAGTTCTTGGAGATGTGTGTCCCTGTGGGTTTTCCACTTCAGGTGTGCTCAGACCCCATGCGCCTTTAATCAGAGATTTTTGGTAGTAATGCCGTTCAGCCTACACATGTGCCCCACTTCAAAGCTATATAAGACTGCATAGGTGAACAGCCCTCAATTCCTTTTCTACTTCATAATCTCCAAAGCAGAGGAAAAGGAGGGCAGGCAGTGGGGCACCCTAAGGGGGACACATCTCAAAGAACTCCAGTTACTGCACAAGGTGAGAAAGCTGCTCCTCTTCTTTGTGTAGCGTCCATATGGGAGCTCCACTTCAGGTGACCTACTGAGCAGAACCGTCAGCTGGAGGGGAGGCTACAGAGCCCAATCCAAGACTGAAGACAAGATTGTTTCCAACAGCTGCCTCTGATCTAGAAGACTTGATCACTGTCTAATGCTTGTATGTGTGGAGCATGCGCGATAGGTATCATAGGCTGGGGAGGCTGTGCCTCCCCAAACAGCCAGGCGTGCCACCGCCCACACTCTGCCCCCAGACATCCCTCCCCCGCTTCCTGCTCCATGCAGCTGGAGTCCAGTTTCCCTGTGGGGTGGCCCCAGCTTGGGCTGTGCCGCCCGCCCTCCCATCGTTATGGAGCTGGGGGGGAGCTGCGGCTGTGCCATGTGCCCTCCCAGTGCTCCAGGGAGCTAGCTTGGGACAGGGGCCTGGCAGCTGCAGTGGGGGGCAGCTCTGGGCTCTGATGGGTGGCACGGAAGGGAAAGGGTCTTGGGTGGAAGGGGCAGGGCTGGGTGCTAGCCTCCCTCCACCCGGTGGTTCACACACTGCCTGTGGTGTGAAGGTCCAAGTGGCAGCCTTAGAAATGTCCAGAATAGGAACACACTTGAGTAATGCCCTAGATATAGGCAGAGATCTCGTGGAATGGGCCAACACCCCAGAAAGAGTCTGTATGTCTGCAGATTTATAGCACAATATAATGCAATCAGAAATCTACCTGTAGAGTCTCTGGATGGAAATCGATGAACCTTTAGACCTATCTGCAATGGACACAAACAGTCTGGGTAATTTTCTACTTCACTTAGTTCTATCCAAATAAAAAGCTAAAGCTCTCCTAACATCCAAAGTATGCAAAGTGGCCTCTTCTCTAGACTGGTGCGGCTCTGGGGAAATAAATGAATAACTTGGTTGATGTAAAACTTGGACAACACCTTGGGTGAAAATTTAGGATGTGGACATAATGAAACTTTGTTCTTGAAAAATACTGTAAATGGATGCTCCACAATCAGAGCCTCTCTTTCCCCAACCCTTCAAGCAGAGTTGATAGCCACCAAAAAGGCCAGCTTCTAAGATAAATTAATGAGGAAAGAAGTAGCCATTGGCTCAAAAGGAGGGACCCATAAGACATCTAAATACTAAATTCAAATCCCAAATCAGAATGCACCCCTCAGAGGATTGGGGGAACCTTTTCCCCCAATCCTCTGAGAAACCTCAAAGTTGTGGGATGAGCAAAAACTGAGAATCTCTCAACCAGGAATGAAAAGCTGTTTTAGCTGCCAGGTGGACCCTGATAGAGCTCATAGATAATCCTGTCTTTTTCAGCTCAAGGAGGTAATCTAGAACAACTAAGAAGGAAGTGTGAGCAGATGGAATACATGTCTGGATATGCGAAAGGCTGAACCTTACCTGCAGAGGTAAGTATATCTCATGGAATCTTTTCTACTGTTCAGTAACACCTTTTCTACAGTTCAGTAACATCAGAACAAGTACACTCTATTCCCATGAGTCAAGTTTTAAGACAAAGAATCTTCAGGTTGGGGTGAAGAATCCAATTGGATCTTGGGAAAGAAAATAAGGAATGGATGGAAGGCTAATTGCCTGACAAATGGCTAAGAATCATGTAAGAATACTATATATGTTTGGGCCACACTGGAACTATTCATAGGATCCTGGATTTGTCCTGCTTGATTTTATTGATCATTTTCAGAAACAGCGGTTGAAGGAAGTACATATAGCAGGCCTCTTGTCCATGGAACAAGGAATGTGTCTCCTAAAGAGAGAGGGCCTAAGACCCTACTTGAGCAAAAGTGTTTGCATTTCAAGTTGTAGGTAACAGTATCAAAGAGGTCTATTTCTGGAACTCCCTAAATGAGAAAGATTTGACTGAGAATCTAAGAATCCAAATCCCAAACATAGTCCTGGGAGAAGTGCCTGCTGAGATTGTTAGCTATTCTGTTTTGTATCCTCGGGAGGTAAACTGCCGAGATAAGGCTGAAATTGACTATGCACCAGTTCCAGAGCTTTGGCACACAGGAAAGAAGAGCTGGCCCTTCCTTGTCAGCTGATAACCTGCATGTTCTTTATGTTGTCCATCAGGACCTTTTATGGACCTAATTCTGATTAAAGGCAAAAAGATACAGACATTCCTGACTGCCCTCAACCCAAGTAGGTTGATGTGTAGTCATGTCTCTTGGGCAGATCATTTGCCCTGAGTTGTGAGGGTCCCAAATGTGCCCCCCACCCATTAGAGATGCAAGTGTCTTGGTGACTGAAGGAGGAGGTAGAACAAATGGAATCCCCCCACAGACATTGTCATGGTCTTTCCACCAATTGAGAGAATCTTGTACTTGAGGAGAGACTGACATGACACCAGCTTGGTCAGGCTGTGTTTGTTTTTTGGGTTTTTTTTTTTTTGAAGTATAAACAGACCTGAGCTAGCTCTGGAAACATCAAAGGAAAAGCTTGGCATGTTGCATCACAAAGGTGCAAGCTACCATGTGTCCGAGCAGTTGAAGACAATTTCTTATAGATGTCTGTAGACTGATTTGAATTTTTGAGGTGAGATTTGTTAACATCAAGAATTTGTTGGAGGGAAGATAAGCCCTGGCTGATATCACATCTAAGGAGGTTCCTATGAACTCTATTGTTTGTACCAGGCTTAAGATGGATTTCTCTTTATTGAGCTGCAAACCTAGCTTGTGGAACAGGAATCTTGACATCTTTGTGGTAGTGAAAACCTCGTCAATCCTTGAGTAGCCAGGTATCAAGGTATAGGAAAACAATTATTGCTAAACATTAAAGGTAAGCTGCAACCGCTGCCAATATTTTTGAGAACACTCTTGGGTCAGACAAAAGGCCAAAGGGAAGTGATCCTGACCTATCAAAAACCACAGGAATCATTTATGAGACAGATGAATTGCTGTATGAAAGTAGGCATCCTGAAGGTCAAGGGCCAAAAGCCAATCCCCTGGTTCCAGCGATGGAATTATAGCTGCAAGAGTCAACTTCCTGAATGTTTGTGATTTCACAAAGTTGTTTAGGAGTCTTAAATCTAAGATCAGTCTCCATCCCCTGTTCATCTTTGGGGCCAGAAAGTAACTGGAGTAAAAGCCCCTCCCTCTGTACTGAACTGGAACTGATTCTATGGCTCCTATGCTCAGAAGGTTGTCAATTTCCTGTCTTAAGAGGTACTCTTGAGAGAGGTCCCTGAAGAAAGGGGGATGGGTAGCAGGCAATGAAGTAAAATGGATGGAGTACCCCAATCTGATAACCTACAGCACCCATTTGTCTGATATCTCTCCCATGCAGATTCAAAGTGAGAGAAATGGTCTCCATAGGGTGGGAGGTGGGTGGAATGGTGTAGATGCAACTCCATTTTGTGGGGTTCTTCTGGGCCCTCTACCAGCTCATTAAACCTGATGCTTAAATGATGATAGGAGCTCAGTAGTGGATACAGAGGATGTAGATGGTCCCTTCCTCTGAACCCTTGATTTCTTCCTGGGCAATTCATAAAGTCTCTGGAATCTTGAAAATGGAATGGGGCAAGATCTTTATGCCATTTGGGATCTGCTAAACTTTCATTTGCTTGTAGGCATGTAAATCCCAAGGGATCTCAATGTATCCTTAAAGGTGTACAACCATTCATCAGTGGCTTCAGCGAACAGTTTGAGACCATCGAAGGGAAGGTCCTCAGATGTCCCTTGGGAATTCAGCTAGCTGGAGCCAGGATGCCCTCTGCATGATCACTGCTTTGGAGATGGACTGAGCAGCAGTGCAAGCCATGTCCAATGAGGCTTGCAAAGATGTTCTAGCTAATAGTTAGCCCTCATAGATAATAGCCTGAAATAGCTATCACTGTTTAGCCAGCTCAATAAAGATGGTGAATTTGGCATAATCTGAGTGATTGTGTTTTGTCCTGACAGCTTGATAATTTGTGATCCTACACTGAAGAGTCAAGTAGGTCTTGCTGCCAAATAGATCAACATTTTTGATCTGTATTATATGGCATGGCTTTCATGTGTTATTGTCTGCCACGTTCACTGTCTCCACAACCAGGGAGTTCGGTGTTGGAGGGGTGAACAAAAATCTGTAGTCCTTAGCTGAGATGTAATATCACAGGGGTATGCTAGATGGATTTTAGCAGGACCCAACAAGGCCTCACTGATAGGCAGGGCAACTTGGGTAGAGGGAGTCCAGTGGAGGATATCCAGGAGCTTATGCTGCAACTCTCTGACCTCTTCCAGGAGTTAATGAAATGCATTGCGAATTCCCTAAAGATTCCCTTGGAAGTGTTTGAAGTAATCAGCTGTAGAAGATGAAGAAATATTTATTTGGAGAGTAGCACCTTTATCTGCCCTGGCTCACTGCTTCTCAAAGGACTCTTGTGCCTGAGGTAGTGGAGGGAAGGATAGGTGGAGTAGGAGAAAATGTCTTCCTCTGTTGTCCACACAAGAGAGACGAGGGGCATGGCAAATTTGTTATCGATATGCAGCCCAAGGATCCCAGTATGGTTCCCAATATGGTTACTAGAGGCAGTGTGAAAGGCATTGGACGTGGCATCCACTGGTGCTCAAACCAGGCTGGGCCGGCACAGGCTCATCTTTGATGGAACTCCCCTTTTTCTTGAAGGGGGAAGGTCCATCCCCTAAAAAGGGAAGGGATGAAAACCATCCAAAACTAGCAGCGTTTCTGGACTGATGGGAAAGGCTGTAATGAGAAGTGAAAGTGTGGAGTGATGACCAAGTCACTGCTTTACAAATGTCTAGAATTGGTGCTTGTGTCAGGAAAGCTGCAGAAGATGCCTGCACTCTAGTAGAACGTGCCAACACTCCACCTGGTGGGATGGTATTAGCCAGCTAGTGAATAAGTGATCCAGGAAGAGATTCTCTGAGTGGAAACTGGTTGGCCCTTAGCGCTCTCCAACCACTACAAACAGTTGTGTAGAGGATCTGAAAGATTGAGTATGCTCCAGGGAGAATGCTAAAGCCGTTCTGACAACCGATGAGTGAAGCTTTTCCTCATCCCTATGTGTATGGGGTTTCAGAAAAAAATGAATAGATTGCTTGTTTAACATGAAAATTAGAGACTACTTCTGTAAGAAATTTCAGTGAAGAGTGAAGATAAATTTTATCTTTATGGAAAACTGTATAGAGAGGTTCTGACACCAGAGTTCGCAACTCACCCGCCCTTCTGGCTGAGGTAACTGCCACTAGAAATGCCACCTTCATAGAGAGGTGAAGAAGGGAGCAAGTTGCAAGGGGTTTGAAGGGGGGTCCCATCAATTTTGCTAGGACTCCATTCCAATCCCAAGGAGGGACTGGGTCTCATAGCTGAGGCTACAATCTGGCCAAATCCTTTAGGAATTGGGTGATGATGGAGTTGGAAAAAAGGATCTATTATCCACCCATACGTGGAAGGCCAAAATAGCTGCCAGATGCACCCTTAGAGAGCTAATAGCCAAACGTTGTTTTAGATTTAGAAGATAGTCCAGTATGAGGTCCAGGGGTGCTCGTTCTGGAGATGCACGTTTCCTCTGAGACCAAATAGAGAAGCACTTCCACTTAGCCAGGAATTTCTAGTTGAGAGTTTTCTGCTATTCAGAAGCATGTTTTGAACATCTTTGGAGCAGGACTTTTCAACGGGCATCGACCATGAAGCATCCACACTGTTGGATGGAGAGCTTGGAGGTTGGGATAGAGCAAGCACCCATGGTCCCAGGACATTGTCTGGCTCCAAAAGGAGGGACAGAAGTGGCTTGACCAACAGGAAAAAACCTACTATATGCTCAGTAAATTTCAGACTGTTCTTGGATCATTATGTTGGAGAAATGATTGAATAGAGCAAAACAGAAGTTTAAATTGCTTAGATTAAGTGGAGTGCACAGCAGGATTGCAAACATTACCAAAGCATCTTTTCTTCACTGATATCTTTACAAGAAATATAAGGTTTTGCAACCATTAAATACTCCTTATTTTTACCTGCAGATTTTCCTCTTGCTCAGTATGTTGATCTTTCTGAGAAAGGTGGCAGTCTTGGAGATGTCCATAAGCTTCTTTAAGTGATACCAGCATATTTTTAATAGCATCCATTTCTATTCTCAAGTCTTCCTCCTGTAATCATTGAAAGGTCACAGAACAAGTGAACACACCAACCTTTTTGCATATGGAAACCCGAAAGATAATTTTTATAGATATATCAACAGCTTCTCAAATTAAGATAAACTGCTACTCTGAAACCTATAATAAAAAAAAGTAAAACGTCTGAAACCTCACAATAGAAGTAAATGACAAAACAGGTGCCTCTGAATGCTATAACCAAAACCAGCCAATTTTCTTATCCCCTTCACTCAGGGTACGTCTACACTGGAATAAAAGACTCACAGCATGGTCATGGCTGGCCCAGGGCAGTTGACACTCGTGGAGCTAGAAATTGCTTTGTAGACATTCAGGCTCAGGCTGGAGCGTGGGCACTGGGACCCTTCCCCCACATAGTCCCACAGCTTGGGGTCCAGCCCAAGCCCAGACATCTACACAGCAGTTTTACAGCCCCACAAACGTGAGTCAGCTGACCCAGGTCAGCCCAGGTATTTAATTGCTGTGCCAACATACACTCAACATACAGATTTTAGACACATATCCATTATCTCTTACCCTCTTCTTGCTCTAGCCTGGGTTTTGGTCACCATTTATTCCAGTTTGTAAGACTCAAATGCATAGACAGTGGTAACTGTGTTTGTTAGGTTTCAGAGTGGTAGCTGTGTTAGTCTGTATCAGCAAAAACAACAAGGAGTCCTTGTGGCACTTTAGAGACTAACAAATTTATTAGGCATAAGCTTTTGTGGGCTAGCACCCACTTCATCAGATGCATGGAGTGAAAAATACAGTAAACAGAATATACATTATAGCACATGAAAAGATGGGAGTTGCCTTACCAAGTGAGGGGTCAGTGCTAACGAGCCAATTCAATTTAGGTGGAAGTGGCCTAGTCTCAACAGTTGACAAGAAGGGGTGAATACCAAGGGAGGGAAAATTACGTTGTTAGAGTCTTTTATTCTACCCTGCAGTGAAATGGAGGTTACTTCCTTGTAACCAGAGTTCTTCAAGAAGAGCCATGTGTATTGATCAAGGGAAAGCCAGGATAGAAATTAAAAACTATAAAAAAAAAAAGCTGTTGACAGTTTGCCATGTTTTCATAAATGCCTTGAAAACATGAAAAGTTTATTTTCTTACCCCAAAATATTTCCCTTCCTCTTTTGTATGTATAATATCTCATATTATTATAGTTGATTTGTTATTGCAAATTTACTGCAAAGTTGCTGTTACTGAGTTGTTGGTTTTTTTTTAAGAAACCATTCAATATTTGTTTAAAAATACATATAAAGTAGTACCACTAAAAACAAATATTGAGGGTAGGTCAGTACTTAAGCCAAATAATCTTGATAAAGTTCCTTTAATTTTCATAATTTCAATTTATGGGGGGTTACACTAGACTTTTATAATGTAATGTATAATTTATAAATGACTTTTTTAATGTACAGGAATACAATCTAGAAAATGCAAATGGTATATTTGTAATAGTTTAGGTACTATGACAAGGTTCTGTAATAGAAATATAATTTAGCCAATGTAAATGCAAAATACATTAGTACAGTGGTCCTCAACCCAGAATCTGAAGTTCCCTGAGGGGGCTGGGAACAGGTTTCAGGGGGGCCACCAAGCAGGGCTGGCATTACACTTGCTGGGGCCCAGGGCAGAAAGCCAAAGCCCCACTGCATGGGGCTGAAGCCCAAAGCCCCACGCCCTGCCACCCAGTGCTGAAGCCTAAGCAACTTAGCTTCGCAGGGTCCCCTGTGGCATGGGAGCCAGGCAATTGCCCTGCTTGCTACCCCCTAATGCTGGCCCTGGCTTTTATATGCAGAAAAACAGTAGTTGTGGCACAGGTGGGACATGGAATTTTTATAGCATATTGGGGAGGCCTCAGAAAGGAAAAGGTTGAGAACCCCTGGTATTAGTGCATGCTAAGGAAACATCAATACCTCCGATGTAAGCAGTGGTTGACAAAAGCATAAGTCTGGAACTATATCTAAGTGCTAAGGTTAAATTAAAAAACAAACCAAACAAAAGCCTCCATTTGGCCTATGTGGTGTAGGCCCAAAAGAGATGCATGCCTGGCCTTCTAAAATGCAGAAGTCAAATGGAGTTTCTACTAAATCTACCTTTTAAAATATTTTTGACACAAATTTGGAGTGTCCAGGAAAGAAAATATTTTACTTTTTCATACATTATTTTTGCAATATTTTCATGGGTTTTAGGAATTATTTGAAATGTTTGACTATTCCAAAACCCTTTGACTATACTAACATTTAATTTAATAAACTTACATCTTTTTTCCAAGTTCTTAGTGCTTTCTCATGCTCATTCTGAAGATTAAGGAACTTTTCTTCATTTTCTTTTGCCTTCTCCCTTTGCAGCTCATTATCTCTTTCAAGGGTCTGCAATAAAATTAATTATCCAAAAAATAATCAATATCACATTAATGAATTTTGATGTGTTTTATGTTGCTTGGACCTTTGCTTCTAACATGCTGAAAGTGCCATACAGATCAGTGATAATGTGCTCACTCAACAATAATTTTCATAAATTAACAGAAAGGTGCTTATAGTATAGCTAACAGGAAACAGGGGGAGGTTATGAAAAAGAAATGGCTATAAAAGGGTATAAAAACACTTGCCATTATTCAGTTTCAGTGCATAAGTTTTAATGTGCTGAAAAAGTAATATGAAGTGTAGAGCTCAGAAATATGAAATGTAGCACAATCAAATCCCAGTGTACTTAAAGAAAAAACTACAGTATAACCAAAGAAAATATTTTTGTCTTTTGTTATCACAACTTATACGCAAACTTGCTTAATAACCTTTTCTATAATTTGAATTGTTTAATTTAAAATTGTAAAACACATCTGTTGGTATGTCAAATATTTAGTGTATGTCTGATTGCCCTTTATTTTTATTGGTTTACTGAAATTGAATAAAAGTGCTTTAAAAAGAATAGTAATATGCTATTAAGGTTTTTTTATGCTGTCATAATTGTGCTTCTAATGTTTCTGGGCTTACTCAGTGTCAACTTTACTGTCATATTGATAAATTAAAAGCAAGCTCATGTAAATCAACAGTAACAGTTCTCACACATCTCTCTAGTACTGCTGGAATTTTATCCTATCATATTTTTATAACAAAGTGCAGAAGATAAAAGACTTACGGTATCCATTACCTTCTATAAAGATCATACAAACACATTTGAAAATGTAAACACAGTTTTAATGCATGTAACTACATGATCAACTGTATTTATAGGATTTCGCTGTGATTCTTTGAAACCACTTCTGAAAAAATGTCAGATATAAAACATTCTTCAAAGGAATTCTTTTCTACTTCACTTTATAGCTACAAAAATATCAAATTACTTTTTGATTTACTTAATCTTAACATGCCTATAATCACTGTCTAGTTAATGTAGCCACACTATAAAATATTTGGGGAATGAATATAATATTCAGCATTTAAAAACCTACAGTAGCTCATTCCTACATGTGTGGAGAAGCTTACTTCATGATCTGTGGGGGAAATATACTAACACCCACCTAATTAAATAATAAAAGATAGTCTGGACCCATAAAGAGATGTTCCCTTCCACTGCTGTTGACCAGCCAGCATCCATGCAGTGAGGTTCAGAAAAGCTGGATCAAGATGGAGGATTTTCCCCTCTGTCTGGAAGATTACATCTAGCTGGAAGAGGTAGTAGGACTGGAGGTCAAATGGAGAGATTCATCAAGTCTGAGACTCAGACCTGCCTTAGCAAGGCCAGTGCCAGTGTGATCATCTGGCTGATTGCTGTCTGAATTTCCTGATGATTCTTACAACTAATGGGATTGGAGGGTATGTATACATTAGTCCTGGAGCCCTGGGGATCAGCAGCACATCTGACAGAGAATCCTGGCACTGACTCCTCTGGAGCAGAATCTGAGACATTTCTTGTTCTCTTTCATTGCAAACAGGTCCCCCTATCTGATGAAGATGTCCTGTATGATGGTATCTTTTACTGATCACATGTAGTTACTTCCAAACTGCTTCCTCAGGTGGTCTTCCAGAACATTCTGCAAGCCTTGTAAGTTAAGGGCTTTTAGGGTAATTTAATGTCAAATGCAGAAATTCCATAGATGTACAGCTTCCTGACAAAGTGGGGTGGATCTTGTTTCCCGTTGCCTGTTGATATAAAACATCTCCATGGTGTTGTCTGTCATAATCTGAATGGTCAACCTTTTCAGGAGTGGAAGGAATGCTGTGCAAGTCCGGCAAATGGCCCTGAGCTCTAGGAGTTGTTCTTTGAGATGTGTTGCACGTATCCATTCCACTTTGTGCACACCCAGTACACTAGCATCAGATTTTTCCCTTGGGGTGCTCATAGGGGTGGCACATGCCCCCTCTACTGCCTCATGCTGCTGCATAATACTATAAAGGGCTGAGCTGCCCTCGACCTCGCTCAGTTCCCTCTTACCAGACAGACTCCAATATACAGAGGAAGGAGGGTGAGATGTGGATTAGACATGTGCAATGCAAATCAAAGAACGATAATTACAGGTTAATAGCAGTTTTTCTTCTGCAAGTGATTGCCCATGTCCATTCCACTTCAGATGACTCTCAAGCATTTCAATCTGGAGGTAGAATCAGAGTCTACCTGCATAATGATTAAAGGACTACAGTCCAAATCTGGCGTCTTCTCTAGACTGTTGAGAGATGGCATAATGAGACGCAACAGTATGCAAAATGAAGACCAAGTTGCAGGTCTACAAATGTCCAAAATAAGTACTTGAGCTAGAAGAGTTGCAGAAGCTGCATGTGCTCTGGTTGGCTGTGCTAACATCCTGTTCAATGGAGTAATATTGGCCATGTCACAGCACAATCATATACAGGAGGAGATCCATGACGGAATTCTTTGAGAAGAGATTGGAAGGTCCTTCATCCTATCTGAAACTTCCATGAATAATTGCAAGGATGAGCTAAATGATTTATTCCTGTCAAGTAAAATGCTAAAACACTCTGCTAACATCCAACATATAGAGCCTATCCTCGTGTATGAGCATGAGGCTTAGGAAGAAAATTCGTAAACATATTGCTGACTGATGTGGAAGTGAAAAACATTTTGGTGAAAAACTTTGGATGAGGGCATAGGCATACCTTGTCCTTGTAGAAGACTGCATTTGGTGGTTAAGATATCAGAGCTCTCAATCCACCTACTTTTCTTGCTGAGATAATTGCCACTGAAAAGGCTACCTTTATTAAAAGATGGAGTAATTAACAGGTAGTCAGCAGTACAAAGGGAGAACCCATTAGTTTTGCCAGTACTAAGCTTAAATCACAAGGGGAATAGGATCCTCTACTTGGGGATATAACTGGTCCAGACCCTTCAAAATCCTGATTGATAATCACTCTGTTTTCCTATGTCAATCCAGAAGGTTGAAAGCCGAGATAGCTGCTAGGTGAATCCTGGCAGAACTAATGGCAAGACTTTGGTGTTTCAGGTATAACAAATAGTCCAGCACATGTTGTACTGGAAACCCCTTATTGTGGACTAGACAGAGAGAGACTTCCATTTCAACAGATAAAGCTACCTAGTCTAAATCTTCCTACTATTCAAGATAATGTTTTGTAACTCCTTTGAACAGATCTCTTCCTGAGGTGTTAACCATGGAGCATCCAGGCTGTATAACGGACCTCCTGAATGGAATGGAGATGACTGTGGTCCTGTGATATCAGATCTGGGTCTTGTGGTGTCAATGGAGCCTTAGTTGAGAGGCTCAGCAGTGGAAAAGCAATACTGGTGAGGCCACGCCGGTGCTATGTGTATCACTCAAGCATGGTTCTGCTTGATTTTAACAACACTCTTTGAAGGAGCAGAACCAGAGGATATGTGTACATGATTTTGTATTTCCAGGGAAATAGGAAAGCATCCATCAGAGACCATGCTAGAGAACAAAATGGATGACACTTCCTGTTGATGCAGGTTGCACACAGTTGGAAAACGAACCTGACTATATCTGGGCAGAGACCACACGTGGTGACTAGTGAAAAACCTGCTCAGTAGGTCTGCCAGACTGTTCTAGAAGGTGGGAGGCTTTGAGATGGATTGAGTTAGTGACAAGTCCCAAAGCAGCATTGCCTCTTGGGAAAGAAGTGTTGATATGACCGCTCTCTGTTCAAACAGAACATGGCTGCATGTTGACCATAAGTACTAGCAAATTTCTTCCCTTGATATGGGGAAGGAAAGTGTGACAAGCTAGATGAATGGCTTTCAACTCCTACATTATATGGAGAGCTAAATCCTGGCTAGACCAGACAGTCTCTGAATCTACTGAGATTGCAGGTGGGCCCCCCAACCTAAGGCAGAACCATCCATAACCAAACTCAAAGTTAGTTGATGGGGAGCAAACAGAACTCCCACACACATACTGGATTGGTCTATCTACCAATTGAAACAGTCTAAGAATGATGTTAGCCCTCAAGCCACCATATCCAATGAATGACAAATAGAGGAGTACACCAAGCTCAGCCAGCCCTGCAGCTTTCTGAGTTGAAGCATAAGACTTGGGGAGAGTACAGGCAGGAAAGGCTTGGCAGTGACCTGATAAGGTGTAAATGGATGAATATGAACTTTACTTTAAATGTTTGTTAAATTTTAATATATTACAATCCGAGAGAGAGTGTGAATGGAGAAAAGGGTTGGTGAGTTACTGAAGAAGCCTGTGGAAGGAGGAAACTGAGGCAGGAGTCATTTGCAAGGTCATCCTAAGGCCACAAGGGATTGCTCAGCTGGTAGCCACACAGTGACATTCTGCAACAGTTGTAACTGAGATAAAATAACCAGTGCCTGCATCGGTGCCAGATGGACCCTTCCTAAGCATGAGCTACCCTTTTCTGTGGCAGAGCAAGAGGAATTCTGCCTCTTAGAGCCAGGACATGTTGACAGTGACCTGGATTAATGCCCCTTAGCGGAGTGGTGCTCCTTTCTTCCCCTGACCTCAGAAGTTTTACCAGTTGAAGAAAAGACTTTCTTAGATGTGACCCTCAGAGCTATGAGCTACAGAGCTGACAGCAGTGCTTTTTGAAGAGGACTGCTTAGAGTTTTCATTCCCAGCCACTCCAGGACATGAAGAGGGGTGTATCAATCTCTCCAGCAAAAACAAATTCAAGCAAGTCTCTCTCTTATGTTCTGTGTTCTGCTTGCGAATGACTTGCAAATGGCATCTCTCTCAGGGATGTGCCTCTCACCAAGGCATAATGAGCATCACTGGCTTACAAGATGGACAGTTATTAAAACGTGGAGACTTTTGTTCTACTCTAAGGGATTGACTTAGCAGCAGGAAATCTGACACAGAAAAGAAGGATTTTTTGGTTTGTTTTAAAAAGGAAACATTATGGAAAACTTATGACTGACTAAGGCCATGTCAACACTATCACTTATGTCGGCAAAACTTATATTGCTGAGGGGTGTGAAAAAACACACCTGATCAACAACATAAGTTCCGCCAGCATCAGTGGTAGTGTGCACAGGATGACGGGCTATTTTAAGCTCCAGTCACTTCTTAGCCTCTTTGCTGAGACTTTCAACTAGGATATCAATTAGTTCCAGTTTGGAAAGTTGTGGGGTTTTGTTTTTTTAGTAGATATGTATACTGATTGGGAACTAGATTTGCTTTCACAGTTCAAACAGAAATGTATTATTTTTTCTTCTTCTTCGAGTGGTGTCCCTATGAGTGCTCCAATTCAGTGTGCCTTTGATTGGAGATTTTCTGCTGCTACAAGTTGGAAGTTAGGCAATATCTGAGCTATTTGTTCACTGTGGAATCCTCTTTATGTGTATAAATGGTTCTAAATACCTTTAGATAGTTAAGGTATGTCTACACCAGTGGTTCCCAAACTTGTTCCGCCGCTTCTGCAGGGAAAGCCCCTGGTGGGCCGGGCCGGATTGTGTACCTGCCGCGTCCGCAGGTTTGGCCGATCGCGGCTCCCAGTGGCCGCGGTTCGCTGCTCCAGGCCAATGGGAGCTGCTGGAACGTGTCTTCCAGCAGCTCCCATTGGCCTGGAGCAGCGAACCACGGCCACTGGGAGCCGCGATCGGCCAAACCTGCGGACGCGGCAGGTACACAAACCGGCCCGGCCCACCAGGGGCTTTCCCTGCAGAAGCGGCGGAACAAGTTTGGGAACTGCTGGTCTACACTATAGACCTTACAATGGCGCAGCTGTACCGCTGCAGCTGCGCTGCTGTAAGATAACTCGTGTAGCCACTCTACGCTAATGGGAGAGAGCTCTCCTGTGGATATAGCTACTGCCACTCATTGAAAGTGGTTTAATTTGTCAAATTCAGCATACTCTGATCTGCCCCTTCACCACTTTTAACATGCAGCCTATGCCAAGGAGGGTGAGGGAAGGTGGCACTATGCTCCGGATGTCGTTATGCCAGCCCTTTTGCCCTGCTGAAATTGAGGACAGGATCTTGCTCCTTGATTTTCAGAACTCAATTTTACTTTAAAAAAAAAAAAAAAAAAAAACCCAACACATCTTAACAACAACAACAAAAACCACTTAACTAAAACAACAGTCTTGAGGTTAACTAAGATTTGCTTTATCCTCTAGAAAAAAATTGGTGAAAATTGGCAGCCATCTTTTTCTTTGAGGAGTTTAGGGAACAGGGTGTGTTTCAAGGTTCATACTGAAAATTAAGGAGCTGAGGGACCAGAGGATCAGAGGTCAAAAGTTCTGAAAAGCATTCTGATGTGTTTAACAGCCCTACACTCTTCAAAAGTATACAGCAGGTAGTAGTAGATTGTATAATCAAGAAAAATCTGACCTTATATTCTTCTTTCAGTGCATTCAATTCACTTTCCATTCTGACATTTGTTTGGGTCAGTCGCTGAAACAGCTGCTGCATATGTTGTAGAGAACTGATAATCTCCTTATGAAAATAAACAAACAAATCATGGTATATTAGTTTGTTTAGTTTGTGAAGTTTGAACATAAAGAAAATAATGGATGTTTTACAAATACTTTATTTTTGATTAACACATGTGTTCTTTCCTCAGTTAATAGATTACATAATTTACATTAATATCACTATTTCTCTTTTTAAATTATCAGTATCAGTTTTGGGAGGGGGTTGGTGGAAGACGAAAGAGCTACTCAACTCCTCTGTGGCCTTTTTCTGTGGAACAATATAATAGTAAAGTTCTTCTCAAGGTATTTTCTTATATGATGCCACTTGATGAACAGTTCAGTAGCAGTTCTGGACCCATCTGAACAAGACATGTTTAAATGCGCCAAATTCTGTCTGCACTTCACAGTTTTGAGTTCAGCACATTTGGCAGAGTAATGTTATGGCAATATATATCACTGCCAGTTTGGAAGACCCCAGAGGAAACAGGCAACCACTTTCACAAACAGATGACCCTGAAAACTGTTCTCCATCTTCTGAATGTAGACTCTACTGGGCTGGAATTTACACACAGTAATGGTGTATTATGACATGAACATCAGAATGTTGTGATACAGTTCAGGTTTATCAGACTTTGCAGCTAGCATCTGATCTTTCTGGGGTATATCCCCCCAGAATGCTATAATGATGGGCCATTGGAACTAAAAATAACACATGCATTTTAAAATTCTGAGATGAATTTAGGGCCAGATTGTGAATCCCTTACTTGTGTGAGCAGTTACTTACACAAATATTCCATTGATTTCACAGGAATTCCCAAGAGTAACTACTCACCACTGTATAGGGTTCAAAGTGTGGCTCTTAGGGATTCAATATTCATGATGGTGAGGGACTAGTAGCTCTCACTTAAGTACTATGTAATGCTGTGTAAATTTCTTCCCCAGCTTTACACATGCAAACTACAGTTCTGACCTGCAATATCGCTGCTGCTCTTCCAGTTTTGGGATTCTCCTAAGAAGCAGCTGACACTTATGCCAAATTTGTGGTGTTTGTGTCATGGTGAACAGAAGGTATATCTACACTGCAATTGGACACCTGCGGTTGATCTCTGCCAGCTGCCTCAGGCTTGTAGGGCTGTTAATTGTGGCGTAGACATTTGGACTCTTGAGCTCCAGGTCCCTCCCACCTTGCAGGCTCCTAGAACCCAGGCTACAGCCTGAGCCTGAACACCTACACCACAGTTAAACAGGATCAAACCACCAAATTAATTTCTTTTTGTGACAAAGTTTTGAGCTCAGATCTCCATACATGAAAGGCCAGTACACTACCTTACTCCTGAAGGGCTCCTATTATACTACAATCCTAGAGTCTTAAAATTTCTCATGTCCTGCAGAGAGAGAGAGAGAGAGAGAGAGAGTCTATTTTTAAGAAGAACTCAGTGTTATTGAATGGAATACACTCTAAATGGCAGGAAATGCTCTCCAGGACAGATGGAATTTAAAGACTGCAGGACTGTATCTATCTTCTGAAGGATGTCCTTGTTTCAAGAAAAATAAGATCTCAAAGAGAGGACCACCCAAATAACTGGCTGATTAAGGTGTAAATCTAGGATCACCCTGAAGACTGTAGACTGATAAAAAAAGAAAAGAAAAGACCAAGGTATCTTCATAACACACACAAAATGGTGACTCTGTTGACAAAGCCTGCTAGCTAAAGCAGATGTGATGGAGAAAATAAAAGCCACTTTACATGAAACAATATGTAAGACACATTTCGGAAGGTCCCAAGATAGAGAGAATGACCTAAACAAGCAACATATATCCACAAATCCCTACAGAACTTGCTCCTAAACAGTAATCCAGTAGCTACTAGTAAATGATTTGCACAGATGCAATGTGTGACATAATTGATTTTGGGATAGAAAATATTCTTAAATGTTGAATGGAATTGAAAGAGAGACTCATACCAAACTCGTACATTAATTTATCTCTAAAGAGATTCAAAACTGAAAGTTTTCTGACTTCTTTCATATACTATAGGTAGTCTCTTTTTTTCAGGCAAAATCAGGTAACTAAATGTTTAAGTACTAGTATCTGTGTACACAGAATTAGAGACCACATGGAGGTCTGAAAGTCTACTGGTACAGAGGCTGACTTAAGTGGCTGGTTACATGCCACAGTTAGTAGTTCTGCAATTTCATATGTGAGTTCCTTCAGAACTCCTAGGTGAATGCTATTTGGTCCTGATCACTTATTACTGATTAATTCCTCAATTTGTTCCAAAACCTCCTCTACTGACACCTCAGTCTGGGAGAGTTCCTCAGATCTGTTCCCTAAAAAGAATGGCTCAGATGTGGGAATGTCCCTCTTATCCTCTGCAGTATAGACCGATGCACAGAATTCATTTAACTTCTCTGCAATGACTAGTCTTCTCTGAGTGCTCATTTAGCATGTTGATCATCCAGTAGCGCCACTGAGTTTGACAGGCTTCCTGTTTTTCATGTACTTACAAAAAAATTTGTTGTTTGTCTTTTGCTAGGTGCTCTTCAAATCCTCTTTTGTCCTGCCTAATTACAGTTTTGCTCTTGGCTTGCCAGAGTTGATGCTCCTTTCTATTTATCTGAGTAGGATTTGACTTCAAATTTTTAAAAGGATGTCTTTTTGTCTCTAACTGCTTCGTTTAGGGGTTTTTAGCCATGGTGGATTTTTGGGTGGAGGCAGGAGGCTCTTTGTGGATTTTTTTTATGGGCATAAGGATACAAACATACCCATACACCAGACTGAAAGTATCACTCCATGGAGTATTTTTAGCACAACTTAGGTCTGTGAGAGTCATTAAGTTAAACTCTAATAAGCATCCATTACCTACTTTTTCTAGTTCTACTGTCAAGCATTCTTCAAAAGTAAAGTAAAAATACAGTCTTCTGAGACTACGATGGTACTGCTAGATCACCCTTTAATGGGTGCTCAATGGGTAATGTGGTCAGTATTCTGTTCCTTCCCCTCCCTAAGAACATGTACATCACTTTTTTGACATGCCTGGTATTAATGACCTATGGAGAGGGAGTCTTTTATGACCTAAGAAAAGATCACTTTTACATGAGATATCCTGCAAAGCAGTACAGTACACTGCTATTACAGTCAATGTGTGTTTGAGTAGTTTATTTGGATGCTTGACACATGATCCCAATTTTAACTGGATGGACTACCAGTGAAATGCAAGTAATTTGTTGGGTACCAGTGTGCAGACAGAGGAAACAAGTATTCTACAATCCTTACTGCAGATCTTTATTGAATACATTTGTAGAAGATTATTTTCATTGGTATGCCAGGTTTCTCTTGTCTGAAATTTAACTAAATAAATGAAGACTTGGAAATATAATGTGGAAAACAAAATTAATAAAATAATGTATGTCCTATTAATTGATTTGATATAAAACAGTAAGATCCTGTTTTTATTATTAAAATCAACATTAAATTACTTCTGAAAAGTAAAATGCTGAACACGGTTAATTTTAAGAGTTTAGAGCACATTTCTTAAATGGCCAAATATTTCTGATCACAAGTATTATTAATCAACTTTAAACAGCAAAATTGCATTAACCGCTCACCTGTTTCTCTTCTTTAATGTGTGCATTTTCTTCACTGAGCTTTTTATTAATCTCTGTTTCCTTAACAAAATATAAAATGAACATTAAGTAATGTATGAAAATATTATGCAACAATCTTTATATTAATACATTTTCTTTAATAAAATTACATTAAACTGATTTTTCATCCTTATCGAGAGCAATTTAATGACATTTAGTGCTTGAAAGACATTTGATCTTATAAATAATAAAATATCTTACATTTATAATTTAGTTTCCTAGAAAATGTAGTATTTAAAATCAAATAATTGTCACTACAAATATTCAGTTCTCAAAAAGGTATAGAAACATATATGCATCACTTGGAAATCATTACAGCTCTGTTTTTTAAATGAGCAAGAGGAAACATTAGGCAACAAATGTTAAGAGCTTCTTGAATACCATTCTGATTTTTTGTTGTAGTTCTTGTAACTGCTGTTCCTTTGCTGTAAGATTGATGTTTTCTTCTCCCACCCTGTACTGACATGTGACCTTGGACCTTATCAAGTCTGTAGTTACTTTCTTCAGTTCCTTAACACAGGAAACATGCATAAATAGTTCATCCAGTATCAGCACTGCAACTCAAAACAGAGAAATCTTTACACTATCCTGACCCGTGCCCTTTCTTTAAAAAAGTACAGAAATACCAAAACAAATGAAATTAATATACATAAAATTAATAGTAATGACTGTTTGTTTTAACTATCAGTGTAAAACAAACAAACAAAAAAAACCATCAAGTCATCTACCAAGAGGGGTTGTATAAATATTGCTACTGTCTCTCCCTATTACAAAAGTACTAGAGTTACATTATAGTTGATATTGGTAGGGAACTCCTGTGCCGAGCCATACAACAGGAGTAAAAGTACCCATTAGTACACCAATGACAACTTCTGTGTACTCCTGGGAAATAGCAGAAAAAAAGGAAGAGCAGTGGATATCTGGCAAAAACAGGAACTGACCATAAATTTTGGGGATCTTTGCTTTCTCTGTAACATTAATTACTTAATCTCAAGAGAACACTAAATTAATTTAATATTAGAAACCTTTACAACATGATTTTCCATTTAAAATATGCCTTTGATTTTATAGCCTTTATAATCTTTTAAATATCCTGCACTTTTTAAAAAAACATTATCTGTTTTCTAACTAGTTTATCCAAAGCGGCTAGTGCAGCAAATAAACAGCAAATGCTTTGATCTCATTAAATTACAACTTATAGTTCCTGGACTCATAAATATTGTGCCCTTTTCTCCCCCACCCCTCCTTTTCTGGTGCAAGGTAGTCTGTTTAATATCGCTCTCTCCTTGAGCACTCTGACGTTTACTCAGACAAACAGCAGAGGTTATGAATGCTGTTCACAGATAGTATCAAGAATTCTTCATGATGCCATAGTTGTGAACCAAGCATTCAGAATGGTAATAGTTTTATCTAGCAACTATGTTTGGTCTGTTTAACTTTTCTCTACAAAACTGGAATTCCATCTTATCACAGAAACAATGGTTTAACTGTTCTGGACAAAATCATATACCAGTGCAAAAGAAAAAATGAAGATTATCTTGCATGTGAAATTCATGAATATAGAGTTATATGAAAGAATATGAGTATCAATTAATTCATTTTTATAAACTATTTTTAATACTCTAGTCATAAGTGAATTTACAGTGCTCTAACATAGACAAAGTATAATTGTTTAATTGGAAGACTGTAAAGAGAATAGTATTACTTTAGAAATGTGATATTTTGTAATCTGAAAATCCAATTAGGAAATTTCAGTCTTTTCATACAAAAATTAGATAATACTCATTGTTAGTTTTTACTGAAAGGGTCTATACAACAAGCAACAAAGCATATTTTCAAAATTAAATGTAAGAGGGGGTGAGAGGTTTGACTTTGTGGAAGTGAGTACTATGCCAATTTTTTGAATGCACTATCTGTACGGGAGACAGTTATTAGATTCTGTGTACTATAAAGCCCAATGGATAAGCAAGTGCAAATACTTTGTCTATGGCTCTGATACTGCATGCTTTCTAAAACTCAGGATTTACTGCCATGCACAAGAAAAATCCTACAAAGTAGTTAGTCTGGTCCTTACTTCTTATCTTGCACTGTAAAGTAAAAAAAAAAAAAAAAAAAACTATTATGCACATTTATATTGTGGCCATGGAGGTTAGGTAGAGGAGTGGGAGGTCTAACTGACGAAGATATATATTCATGTATATTTTCTTTTGTACCAATACCACAAATCTGGTAATCTAGCTGACCACGTGGATAGAGAAAATATTAACAATCAGATCTAGAGACAAACCCACTCACCAAGGGCAAGTGGAGAACTTTCTTTGGTGAGTGCAGGGGCCTAGGCCATCACTTTATGAAGAATTTTAAGTTTTGAAATAAAAATAATTATGATTCTAGCCTTTATGGCTGCAAAGATAACGTTCCAAATATGAACCAAATGTAAACAGATGCAGTGTTTTCATCCAAACAATCAATTGTAAGCACCAGAGAATTATAGGTTGTAAGAAATAGCCAGCATGGGTTTGTCAAGAATAAATCAGACCAAACCAACCCAATTTCCTTTTTGGACAGGGTTCCTGGCCTAGTGGATGAGGAGAAGAAGTAGATATGATATATCTTGATTTTATTAAGGCTTTTCATTAGCAAATTAGGGAAATGTGGTTAATGAAATTACTATTAGGTGTGTATACAGCTGGTTAAAAGACCATACTTAAAGAGTAGTTATCAAAGGTTTATTGTCAAATTGGGGTGGCGTATCTAGTGGAGTCCAGTCAGTCCTGGGTCCATTTCCATTCAATATTTTCATTAATGACTTGGATAATGGAGTGCAGAGTATGCTTATAAAATGTGCAGATGACACCAAGCTGGGAGAGGTTACAAGCACTTTGGGGAACAGGATTAGCATTCAAAACAACCTTGACAAATTGGAGAATTGGTCTTTAAATCATCAAGATAAATTGAATAAAGACTAGTGCAAAATACTACACTTAGGAGGGAAAAATCAAACACCCAACTACAAAATGGGAAATAACTGGCTAGGTGGTAGTAGATCTGAGTATTATAATGGATCACAAATTGAATGTGTGTCAGCAGTGTGATGCAGTTGTGAAAGGCTAATATTCTGGGGTGTATTACTAGGAATGTCATATGTTAGACAGGGTGGCATGTGTCCTCCTCTACTTAGTACTGCTGAGCCTTCAGCTGGAGAACTGTGTCCAATTCTGGGTACTGCACTTTAAGAAAAAGATGTGAATAAATTGCAGACAGTCCAGAGAAGAGCAAACAAAAATGATAAGTTTAAATAAAACCCTCAGCTATGAAGAAAGGTTAAAAAAACTGGGCATGTTTAATCTTGAGAAAAGAAGACTGAGGGGAACCTGATGATACTCTTCAAATATATTAACAACTGTTATAAAGAGGACAATGATCAATTGTTTTCCATCTCTACTAAAGTAGAACAAGAAGTAATGGGTTTAATCTGCAGCAAGGAAGATTTAGGTTAGATATTAGGAAAAACTTTTTAACTATAAGGGTAGTTAAGGAAGGCTTCCAAAGGAGGTTGTGGAATCCTCATGATTGGAGATTTTTAAGCACAAGCTAGACAAACACCTGTCAGGAATAGTCTCAGTTTACTTGGTCCTGCTTCAGCGCAGGGGGCTGGTCTTGGCATCTTGAGATCCCTTCCAGACCTACATTTCTATGATTCCTAAGTCTACTGTATCTAAGCTCCAGTGTTTCAGCTGCTGCTTCTAACTTTCTTAGAGGTTTCTGCCATACATAACAAGACACTGGTTGGTTTCAGGACTGCTATTCAGAACCCGGTAACCAAAGTGAACCTGACAAAGAATTACGTCAGTTTCATTCTATTGCTGCATGGGAAAGCTAAGAGATGCAGCTGAGGTACTGGACCCTTTGAACTGGCTGGTGGCCCTCTCCCCAATCTTTTGTGTTGTCTCCACTATCTTCTGTGGTAAATTTTTCAAGCCTTGCTCAGTATAATTTTTAAGGGTTTGTTTCTTTTGGCTGTTATCTTTGCCAAGTTTCCATTTAAGCATTTCAATAATAATCATTATCAAATGCTTGAAATGAAATCTGCCAAATGTAATAGCTAAAACCAAATATCCTAAAATACAAAATATTGAGAATGAAACCTATGCCACAGTCCTGTTAAGACAAACTGACACGTCTGCAATTGAAAGGAGTCCAGGTCAGGAAAAGGCTATATCCTCCCGCAAGCAGTAGAACTAGTCATTTTAAGAGGTTCACAATGTCCCAAGGCCAGTTCTAGAAATTTTGGTAATCAAACAGACATACGTAGTCTGTCTAAAAACGAAATTAGATTCACTTTGCTTGTGGCAGATACACTTGCGCCAATCTAACCTAGGAGCCACTGCAGTTGCATATTGGAGAGCTCCAATCTGATGTCCTGGATCTGTATGTGCCATTCTCTTAATATTGGAGATGTAACTTACTTTTATGGCTACAAGTACAAGTTAAATTATATTCTCCAGCTTCAGACTCCTATCAGTAGCAACTCCATGAGAGCAATTACTCCTGATCTGGAGCTAAACTTCCTAATGGCTGTGAAAATGGCTGACAGCCCATTGAGAGTAGAGCACACAGAGTAGTACATTTATTCCTGCTCCAGCACTGAGGCTGGTTCAGGGACTGAGGGGGACGGGCAGCTTGTATCCCTCAGAACCTGGAGCCATCACAGTCAAGATCAGCCCAGCGCTAGTTAGGTCAGCTGTGTGAGTTGTACCCTGGATGTAAGGACCCTTTTGGGCCTTGCAGCTATTGGAAATAGCCAGGATGCAGGATACACCCCTTCTCAATCCCAGCTTGTTCCAAACATGCTTCACTGTGAGGGGGGTTCCTGCCTGCTTCGTGTTTTCTGCAGATGCACCCTACATTACCCTGGAGCTATTCTACAAAGGGGCTCATTTTGTGGTCACTTTGCACTGCCTAGGCTGGCACAAACTGACCATGAGCAAAATGAATCAGGCCCAGAACATTTATGATTTAGTCCTGGCACCTCTCCCTTTCTACTTTCAACATGACCCATATTTCCAGTCTGTAGTCAGAACTGAGAAGCCCCCTACACAATTGTAAAGCAGCAATGCAGTCTAAACCACTGTATAACCTGCTTGCTCACCAGAAATGGTGCACAAGCAGTCAAGCTGCTAAATGGCAGAGCTGATCAAAAATTGGATGTAATTTTTGCAACATTTTTATTGAAAATTCTTTTTTTTTTAAACAGAATTTCAAAATGTTGATGAAATGTCAAAATTAGAAATTGTGATGAATTCTCCAAAATTGTCTAGAATCATAAATTATCAAGAAAATGGCCTCTTAAAGGTTTGGATAAAAAGCATCAAACACTGAATAACTTACTGATTTTTTTGGGAGTGGGAAGGTTTTTTAAAAAGTAACAAAAGAACTCAGACATGAATTTCAGTATATTTTTCTAAGAACAGAAATTTCTTATATCCACAGCTTTGACACATCACATTCTATGACTAGTGTGAATTTTCCAAATCCTTTTTATTTAGGAACTCAGCTTACCCTCTTAATTATTTTATATGCTGTTTTTTACTTGTAAAACTGTTTAAAAAATGGGTAAACATCCTGCCTTTATTGTGGTATACGGCACTTCCATCACTATGTGCAAGAAGGTGATGAGGCCTTCTACTTGAACAATAACGGGCAGGGAGTTAACTCGCAGTGTAGTTCTCCCACCAGTGTTCAATGTGGAGGAAGCACTTGAAGAGTGAAGGTCCAATTAGATGTTGACAAGAAAGCCAGGATACAAGAAAGCACGCTGTGGTAGTCAAAGGAGGAAAGGAGACTTTTCTTTCTCTCTTTTTTTTTTGCTTATATAAAAATATTTTCTTTTAATTTATACCCCTAAACCTCAAGAATAAATCCTGGCAGAAAAAAAATCTGAGTGAAAGATTGTGTTGCTGGATGCGGTGTACAATTTTCTTGCCCTCACATATTAAAAAGTCCTAATTATTATTTCATAAAATTGTTCTGGGTTTTTCCCTTTAACCAAAATAACTAATCCAATTTACTATTACGTTCACACATTTCTGGAATTTTGAGGTTTATCATGAAGCCTCAATCTGGACATAGTGCAGGATCAGACCCCAGTTCCAGTGTAGCCTCTCAGTTATGCAAAAGCCAGTTTTCGTGGACTCCATACAATTTTTGATCTCGCCTAAGAATGTGAACCATTCTACACAGACAACAATTCATTTCTCAAAGATTAAGATTTCTGTGGTCAAAGTGCACCATATAGTTATATTTGTTCTGAAGTGGAAAGTTGTTTTACCTGCAACACACTGTTGAGGTTAACCATTTTAAAACAAATCCCCCATTTTAGTTTTGTTTTTCAAAACCATTTACTTTTGGGGGAGTGGATTTTTGGTGTAATGCTATTATTATCTGAATAATGTATTTGGACTAAATAAGGCTTTTCTAAAAGCTATAAAACCTCTTCATGATTTGAACACCCTTTTGAGTAATTTCACAATGTTGTGCTTTATCGTTAAGTTTATAAGTATGATTTTAATAAGAGACAGAGCTCTGATCTTTTGAATCCAACAGTCATTTTGGAACTTGGTGTTTTTGAATACTCAGGGTGTGCCTTATTCTCTAGTATGCAACTAAAAATAAATTAGATTTAATTAGTGATTTATCTTTGCTGTTATTAAAGCTGTAAGCCCAAAATAAATGTCTGCAATAGGCAACAAGCTTGAAATTGAAAGAAACAGATGAAAAAAGGGTCTTAATTAATTAAACTGTCTATCTCAGGGTATAATTGATTTCTGGACCAGATTTTTAAAGGCATCATACCCCAATGAACCTCAACAATGAGAAGCTATGTGTTCTATTAAAAACTGAAAAACAATACTAGGTGCAGGTAGAATTTTAAAGCATTGCTGTACTCATCAACCTCACTTTTCAGAAATGCAAGTCACAGTGAGTAAATGTCCAATTTTGATCAGTTTAAAACAAACTTAAATGGTAACTGAATCCCTCTCCTAAACAACTAATTTTTCCTATTGCAAGTAGTAGTCTCAAGTCTCCTGAACAGGTAGCATGTAGCAGCAGCAGGAGCATGACCACAAAGTCATCTGTCTGAAGATATCAGAGCAACAGAAACCCAAAGGAGATTGGGAGTGGAGCAGTGAACTGGTTCTCTTTCAAGGTTTCTGGGAGCCTGATGATCAAGGGGAAAACATTGTTGGACCTCCCTTCAAATAAATGGAAGTGGGGAGGAGGAGGCAAGAACAAGGTGGGATTATGGACAGAGAATGAAATTACATGACTATTGCAGGGGTTGCCTTTGCTTTTCTCCTGTTACCCTTTAATTGGCTGCTAGAAGGGAAGAGAGACCTACCCCTCCTGACATGCATATTAACCCTTTTAGCTTGCCTCACTCACTTGCTTAGGAGAAAGGGCAAATCCAAAGAGATATCTGGTAACTACTATAGTTCTGCATGTGTGAGGGACAGGAGGGAGCTCAGTGGCAGGGTAACCTCACTGTCCACACGCCACCTGCCCCCCATTCACCTTGGTTACACTTGTCCCAAAGCTCTCCATTTATTTTAGTGATTCTGCAATGCTTTTTTTTCTCCCAGGCTACCAGACTTCTTTTATAGGCATAGTTGCTCTTTTGCCCACATGCCAGGGGTTCTCAACCTTTTTCTTTCTGAGGCCCCACCAACAGGGCCGGCTTTAGCAAGAGCGGGGCCCGTTGCCTGGGGGGTGGGTGTGGCTCAACCCCCCCCCTCAGGGACCGGAGCCGCGCCGCCGGGGGGGACCCGAGCCCAGCCGCGCCG